AGGACAGAGGGAAGGATAACTTCCCCACCTGAACGACATTTTTCTTCTCTTATGCATACTGTAGTGATCTTCCTGCCCTTGAAAACTACAACTTAGAGAGAATATAGGACAGGAAAACAACAAAGAGATTACTCCTTCTTCCTTTAAAGCAATTTCGGGAGCCATAGCTGAGAATGAGAGATATTGTTCCCTTGTAAGGACAGGGAAAAAATTACGCCAGGTATTATTCTTATTATAACACCATTTATTCTGTAGTAGACAACATCAATAGCAACAATAATTAGCATCGGGATGTAAAAACAGCAGGCTCTAATATTGCCACTTCAATGAACTCAACGAACCGGCATGCTTAGGTCTAATATATCTTACAAAGAGCCAGCGTAACCTTGGGACATGGTAAGTCAGCATCTAGGACTGCATTTGAAACAGGATATGCTCTAAACAGTGGGGTTTTGACAGTCTTTCACTAACAACTAGGTCTCAGCATTTGGCATGTGACCTCTTTTCCATTGTTCATTATACTAGCCCTTTCTAGAAGTTAAAAACTGTTATTATGCTTCTCTGGGTCTAGATACTGCATCAGCACAGAGCAGTTTCCAACATCCAGACAGACCCAATCAGTTCCACTAATTTTCCTGACTCCTACTGCTATCAGAATGATTAAAAAAATCCACAGATAGTATTAGAATTGCCATATAAGAATAAATGTGAGAGAAATTTCAATGTTAAAGTAGAAATTATGAAGACAACAGCACTAACATTTTTAAATCTTCAGAAGTCTGGGATACAGTCACAACATACTGTAAACAAGAAAACTGAGAGCTTACTGTCTACTGTTTAAAATCTATTCTTTTTCACACTGTATAAATCTTGCATTATTTCAGTAATAACCAGCCTATCACACATTCATAAATGAAGGGTAATGGTGCTAAATTTATCTTGGTCTGGTTTTAGCCAGAGCAGATTTTTCTTGTCTTGCGGTTTTTTAGGGACATGATTAAAAGCACTGCTCCTGTCTCCCCATTTGGTGTGGTATTATAGTCAGCTATTACCCAGCAAATCACAGTCCCAGGTGAGAACATATCACTGTATCCTAGAGGGAGTCCTCCTCTTTTATCCATTAGAAGGGCCTCAGGCGTCCATCACTCATCATCATCACTCTAGTGTTTTATGATACACACCATATGATATTGATAACATGATACTTTCTAAAGGAAGGTACAGATACTCCTCTTCCAAGTTCTGTCTTCCTCAGTCTGACACATAAGTCTAACAAACTTATCCTTCCAAACTTCCAGGATAGTTCCAGGGCACAAGTAATTAAACGGCTTCCAAACATTTTTCATTGCTCCTTCTCAATGTTCACATTTCGATGGCATGTAAGGGCTGGTTGATGACTATCAATTTAAATATCCCTATGTGCATTTTCATTTTGTTTTGCTGAATATCATTAAACTCAATAAATACTACACCTTTTTTCTGTGTTCTTTCTGCCACCTTATTGAAGTTCTGTCCTTTATATACGTTACTTGGAAAGCGCTTGTAATACCCTTTGCTCTTGGAATATTTAACCTGTTTCACTCCTAAATGCAATCTTTGTATCTATCTTTTCATGCCCTGAGTCACTTTGGGACTTTTCACACTGAACTTTCTTCCAAGAGACAATACTACCTTTATTCTCTTCTTTTACTACTTTCTGTAAGTCAGGTGACTTGTTTGCCAGAGGTCAAATGGAGTTCATTATAACTTTGCTCATCCTACCTATTGTATACCTTTATTATTTCTAGCAACTGCATTTTTCAAAAGAAAATTCCTCAGGCAAAATTTTTATGGCCAGGTATGCTTAACACTCCTTTGTGTAAATTTGTTCATTGTATATCTATAGCAGCTTCCATAAATGCCACATATATCTCTAAAGCTAGAGAAAATATCCATGTAATGACTCGGGTATTTAAAGCACTTCACACAGCAGCTTGGTTTAGCATCTCAGTTGAAGGTCAAAGCTATCATTGCCTTAAATTGTATTCTGCACATACTGATCAAACTGTCAGAGTTCCTGCATGTGCCCTTCACTGCTGAACAGAAGTAGGACTTAACGGAAAGAAGATAATCAATAGTAGTTATGTTCTGCAGCAGGGTTAGAAGACGTTATTTGTGAAAAATGTTTAGGGAAAAATAGTTATACATTTTTTCTCTGCCCTGACTGACTACTACAGTTTAAAGAGCAACTAATGAAACATTGCAGCTCAGAAACACAACATCTGAAAGTAGAAAGGAAATTTTGACAGAGAAACTGTTCTTTTTCTTTTTGTTTGTTTAGTAGTAATGCATTAACTGTGTTCTAATATTTCATACATTGCACTTAAAGAGTAGGAAAAAATATACTCAATAAAGCTTCACTTCAGCTAAGCTTCATATCACGATAATAGGCAAATACAAATTATGTAATAGATGAGAATATCAATAGCATGGCCCATGTGCTGAGAGTTAGGATTAACTAGCAAAAAGATACTCCTCATGTTTCTGGACTAAGAAGCACCTCTTCATATTCTATAAGAAAATACTGTAACGGAGGAAAAAAAAAATCAGTTCTAGTCTAAGCTGCAGAGTGCTATCAGAGGAACTGCAGAAAAAAATCCCTATTATATCAAGATGACAGAGCATAAGCTGAAACAGAATTGCATTATCAGTGATGATATAAAGAATTCTATCTGAAACAAAACTACCGTGAAATAAGAGGAAGTGATAATCACAACTCTTAATAGCCAGCTGGCAGGGTCAGTAAAATTGGAACCTGCCTAAATTTTCCTCTTTCTTTGGTACTAGAGGCTTTTAGAGACACCCTAATCGTTTATACACTGAATACTGGATTCAAGGGAGACACTGCATTTTCAGAAGTGTATAGTGGACAGTACAATCCTTTAACACAGTTATAGTGATATTTTAAAGACTGGAATAATTATCACTGATAGCACAGTGAAACTGTTTATCAATTTTAATTGCTTTAAGAAATTGCTGTAATGCATTAAGTGCATTTATAAACTAGCATATACACTGATTAAAAAAATAAGGATACTGCAGGGATATTGCTTTTGCTTTTTTAACTTGGGTGATTGATGAGAACACTTCTCTCCTGGAGGTACCTATACCTATGTGCTTAAATTCATGATGGAAAAAAAACTATGAGGGAAACTTACACACTTTTTTCTTGTCTTTAAATTCCTGTAGCCAGATTTTCTATGATCATAATTCAGTTTTATATATCAGGCTAAGAACCTCTACAACAGTAATAAATTTCACCAAAGAATCTGTACTGTTCTTGTAATTTACAATATTTAAGAGGTAAAATAAATAAATTGAAAGTTAACTTTTATATCATTGCAAAAAGTCATATATAAAGGCCTATCACAAAAGTCCATGTTTTAGCTTTAGTCAAAGCAGATCTAATGTGAAATTTAGCATTACAGATCACAACCAATATTTTTTGGTTAGATGTACAATGCTCAATACCAGCAATGTACAGTCATTAAGACAGGTTAACCATCAAAGTTTACCTGATCTTGTATGTCAGTACTTTTTTCTGTAGTTTTAGAAAAAAAAAATTATGATAAGTTGGCTGACCAAACACATGAATTCGGTTGAAAACGAACTCCTTTCAGACCTGAAAATACTAATTTCTCCGTTATTGACTGGAAATTTGTTTTTAGTAACATATGAGTTTACTTCTCGTTGCACTTTTTAATTCCAGTCTGACTACCTTCTTTGAAGATACTTGCAAGTTAGGCACTATTGCATTTTTTTCCAAATCTTTTCAGCTGTTTACTCAACATCTTCAAACAAGGCTTCTGCGTTTCCTGTTGCAGTGCTCTCTGAATTTAGACTCCTTTTATAGCGTTCAAAATTTCTATTTGGAAAGAATACAAGTCAAATAGCAAGTCCTTAATGAAAGTTTTGGGAGTGGGGGAGAGGGAGAGTTGAGTTGGAACGTAAGTCCTTCTAAAAGACTTGAACTTAAGTCTACCTTAACGAGAAAAAGAAAGGGGTCCCAATAGTCCTTAGCCATATTATTTCTTTCTCTGGTACTGATTTGGAAGAAGGTGCTCTGCAGATCAAAAACCTAACCAGAAATCTCTTTACAGGGCAGTGATAATCTTTCTGCTCAATTCCGTAGCATCTGGAAGAAAATCCCTGGAAAAGCACTAACAAGCTCCAGAAAATACAGCTGTTTCATGGAAAATAAACTTGTCTCAGGCAAAAGGGTTTTGGAAACTTCAATGAACTTGATTCTCTTCAATATTTTCAATGTTTCCCATTGAAAAAGGCATTTTTTGGTTCCAGTACTGGGCCAACTGGAACAACAGTGTGAAACTAGGAACTTAACAAAATTAAGCTGTGCAAAACAAAAGTAGGTACTCTCGCACATGCATGGACCCATGATGGAATTTCAAAACATCTTGATACATATCTAAAATGACACTTCACAATGATTCTTGAATTTGATGTCAGTTTGCACAGCACTGCCAAAATGGGTCAGACCTCATTTGGGAAAAAAAAAAAAAAAAGAACTACTTGATGGCTTAACTTATTGCCACAGTTGAATAGTTTTATGGAAAAGCTGTAGGAATATGTTTTTTCCAATTCCAAGAGCACTAGAAAGGACTTTGCTTAAGCAAAGTGGATACAACAGTATTTCCCTGACATATTCCAGTACTTCACAAAATTTTTCTAGCTTTTTTTGGTAGCTGATCGGTTTCTTGAAACTGGAAATACTGTCACTATTAGTTTATGATTATGTTAATGAGATAGAGAAAGAAAAAATCCCACTTTTAGCTTTATTATGCAGTACCACAGAAAGAAGATGGAATATGAAGGGGTTGTGGGAGATATTGAAGATACAAAGTATTAAGATATATGTAGAAGATTGATAAAATATTCCTTATACACACAGAAATGCAGCTGCAGTAGTTAAAAACAATCAAGCACACACTGTAATAGATGAAAACATTTCAGAGAATTTATTTTAAAACAAATGGGACAGCTGAACATGAATGCTTACAGCAGAAGGAGCAGTGAGATTAAGATACTCTTTGCTGAAGAGAGTTTAAAAGTACTAGGAAGTGTATAAACGTCTGTTAAAGAGGAATAAAACCTCTGCTAATTTTGATACTTGTATGCTTGACAAGGTGTATTACATTACAAACTGAAACATGTTGATATGACAAATTAGTACCATGGAAAAAAGTGAAACTACTAACCTAATGTAGGTTAAAACAAAAAGTAACAAAATACATGTGCTTTTTTCTGTATACAACACATCAACATCTAGGTCTTCAAAATGTCACTATGGCAGCATGCTCTACGGTTTCAAAGTCAATAGATTTGAATTCTTTCCTGATTCTAAGATCCAATTGTCTCAATAATAGATAAGAAATAAAGCACAGTACCATTACTGCTCATACTAACCAGCATGACAGAACTAACAAGAACGGCATGAAGCCATATTTTCTTTTCAGCTTTTACAAACACACCAACTAACTCAGTAAGCTCCTTTTGACAGCAGAAATGGTATCTCCCTACATTCTTCTCTCCTTTCAGTTCAGCAAAATTTCTGCACCGAATATTGATCAAGTCTTGAAAAATCCACACAAATATTTGGCTTACATTGACAAATAGCACCTACAATTACAGTGAAAAAAAATGTAAATGCTTATGCTGATTAAATTTACAGTACTAATGTCTCTCTGTAAAGAATACACATAATTTGGCAAATGTGTTATCTTTACTTACAGATTACATAGAAAACATAGCTGACAAGAAAGCTGAACTGAAAGGAAATTTAGAAAACAAGAAAAGATTATAGTTTAAATTACTTCAATCACAATAACTAAAATGGCATGCATTAAGTTACAGGTATATGACTTCTGTCATACTGAGTCAATCAAGCTTAAGTCACTATTTGAGCTATAAAAACAAACAACGTAGATTCTGTTAGATTTCCATATCTGTGAAATAAAACATGATTGCTTAAAACATAGCAAAGGCTGGGTATCCACAAAGTAGCTTAAGCAAATTTGTTTTATTGGCTGAGCCTGATCCTAGTTTGTTGCCAGATGTAACGAAGGAACTCATTAAACCTTGTTATCTGAATTGCTTTCAATGATGTGCTTATAACCCTCTGCTGATGATCACCACAGGCAATAGGATGAAAGGTTTGCGTCTTCTCATCAGAAGTTGTTCTTGCGTTTGATTTGAACATATGATTACATTTTTATGTTTAGTACAACTAGTGAGTATAACTTGTTCTCTAGTATGTCTGACAAATAAATACTTCCATCTATAAATCTGGCTTTACTACTTTGCTCCATTAGATATGTCTTTAATAATCTTAATCTCTGCATAATGTTATAGCCTTCATGAAAAGAAACAGTGCACCTGCATATTTTCTGCAATTCAGAAGAATCACATGGAATGTTTGAATAGTTCTCAGAGAGGGGTTTCCTGCACGGCATGCTGATTTCTATAAATCTGTCTGAAGTGCCTAATTCAGAGCTGAGGCTGGGGCTGTGAACATTGCCACTTAATTCTGCGGTTTACCCATCAGCCTTGTTGGACTTGCATTGAACAGGCTGAACAGTCTTTAAGGAGAGAAAAAGTTCAACTTTTTTTTCATTGCCTCAGTTCAACTATCTTCACTACGCTTCGCCCTTGTGATGTGAAAAGTGCACTCATTTTATATGCAATATATAACAGTATGTCTCCATCAACATCCTAAAAACAGGGACAAATTGTAGTCAAATAACACAACAGGAGCTGTTCAAAAACCAGGGGGGGCGGGGAGGGACTGAAGATCATACTTCATGATGGTCTTACAGAGAATGACAGCTCAGTTGTGGAGCCATCCCTTCGGATGAGGGTTTTGTAAGTGAGGCAAGACGACAGAACCTCGATATTCAGTATGAAAGACTACAAAAGTGGGAACGAGGACAGACAAAGTCAGTCAGTCAGTCAGAGAAGCCATAAATAATCTTGCCCGCTTACTGTGTCACACAAAAACAGAGAAGGGACTCTTACGAAGCTCATCCAGACAATGAACAAGAAAACATAACCTTTCTCTTCCCACCTCTTTTTCTCCTTCAGTGCTATTACAGGGCTTGCTACATTGAATACAGACTTCAGTAGAGAGATTTTTAATCAAACAGTTACCTACTAATTTTTGGTAATCAGCAATATCTAGTAGTTAGAGATGCTTTCCTTACGCAGAGATGCTAAGTGTTCTGAAACAGCTCCTGGGAGATGAATGGTACCTGTCTCAGCTGTGTGCCTCACAAATGATCCTGTAGGTACAGCTATTATTTCAGTCAGACACTGGTGGCTCTGCAATTGTTCATGGTCTCAGTGAATAATAGTATCTGTCACGCAGCCCAAGAGTGTTATGACTGTTAACAGACCTGCTCTTGGCTCATTTGAAATACTGAAGAACTGCACACGGGAAGACAACAGAAATGAAAAGGTAAGATAAAAGCAAGGGTACTCATTTCTGTATATATACATAGGTTTAAAACACCTCAAGACCATCCTGAATACAGTTTGGTAGAACTGGCTGTTAAAAATGCAGATGATCCTTCAACCAGTTGTGAGAAAGTAATAATGGCAAGTGCTCCGTCACTGCTGTTCTCTGTCTTGGGAGCTGCATCGTCACACAGAGCTCACTGGACAGTCACTTTATCACCCTTTCTGACTTGCTCAAGTGGAGACCCAGAAGCCTCCAATTCTAGAGCCTTCCCTCCTTCTGCCCACCTTCACTTCAGAATGAGCTGCTGCTGATTTGCAGCATGCAGACTGCTTCTTATCTCTAAAAGCAATATTGGATGTTTCAGGTTGAGCTAAAAATCTCTCTTCTATTATCAAAGCTAAATGCCTTTTATCAGAGTGCCAACCACGCCTACAGCACCAAGAATCTTACAGCTATCTTAAAAGGTTAACGGATGCTGTGTTTAATAAAACTAGTAAAAGTTTTGAAAAGAGATTCTCATTAAAGTTTTAATGCTTTGGACAGGTAAATGGATGTTTTGTGGCAATCCTAATAGTCTGACCATGCTACTCCATAGGGAGCTTTACTGCATCTCTGTTCTCTGGAATAGTTAAAAATCATTACTCATTGATTTGTCTGGAAAATAATGGGTTGATTAACTTTAGTTGCATACGGAAAAGATTTTCATTTCAATATAATATGAAACATTTTCAAAATCTTCTAGTTTATCTTTCTCATATTTACTTTCTATTCAATTCAAAAGAGAAAACTTACGATAGAAGAGAACTCTTCCTCCTTGCATCTTTAGCAGCGACATTAACATTAGTTAGAATTTGGTTAGATGTCACCTCTTTAACTTCTAAAGCCATCCAAATTTCCTAGCTAACAACGTTATTTTTATACCTTTTCCAACAGCAGAGTAGAACACTTGGCCTTAGCACTGTAGGTCCACCATACTATGCATCCATGAAATGGTACATCTGCCCTCAGTTTGGAGTTTTTCAGTCATTGTGAAAATAGAGAGAAATCACGAATCCCCGTGAAAGCTAGCTACTATCCTATTAATCTTTAAAACTCTTTCCAGAATTTGCAAGATGGATTGCATGAGATAACAGCAGATGAAAAAGAAACAACAGTCAAATAAAAAAAAAAAACTAATACATTTTAATCATTTTAGATCATACAGTACTTTCAGATGATGCATAATAGAAATCCCTGAGTTTACGTGCTGAGACAGATGCTGAGTTTTCAGAATTATCGGAAAAACTAGCATTTATACTAGTTCATACCATTAGCCACTGATACCTGAACACTTCCATGAGGGACTAATTTTGAAAAAATAACACAGTGATTTAAATCTTGAGAGGACGTAAGTCTTAATGACTATTGGCTGATGATTTTTTGTAAAAATTATGAGAGCTAGACAAAATATCAATATGATGAATTAGATCCAAGAAAAACTCAGAAAATGAACGAGACATTTTCTTTTTCCATTCTTATAGGATAAATGTACTATAAGGATGGAAGAAAATTGCTTTACGTTAGGTAAATTAACATAGCCCTGTTAGGTACTATCCAATTATACTAAAGTGCTGTTCTGATCAAGCAATGAGTATTCATCAGAGACCCATTATTTTTTGAATAGAAGCTTTATACAGTTTGGGAGTTTGGCACGTGTTCATATCAGATTAATAACATGCACTCTAGCAAACTTCACAAAATAACTAAAATAATTTAATCATTTCACAATATTTGTCATCAGGGCATTTTTCAGATGAGGCTCTTAGGGCATTTAGTCTTAAAAACACAAATTGCAGAATTAGTTCTCGGATTTTTATTCATGTTGATCAATATGATTCTTCCATATACGGCCTCATTTAAATCTATGGAATTGCCTCTCTGTATGTAAAATGTAAGAATTCAGCCTTTATAGTTTTATTCCCATAAAGCTATTAGGATTGCTTTCTCTTTGACAAAAATTTATCAATAAAATTAGATGAACAGAAGAAAACAATAATTAGAGAACAAACATCTTATAGCAAATCAAAAGGAAATTAACATAGAATTTTCTGAACAGTATAGCCTTTAGGAAGGAAGACAACTTAAACCTGTACTAACCATTGTCCAGAATCTGCTTTGACACAAAACTCTTCAAAGTAGTTCCCATTATTTTTTTTTTTTTTAAATACCACACTGCATTCTTTCTAAAGAAAATTTTCATCATTCCAGTGGAAACTAATTTTTATTCAATTCTGCTAAAGTGAAATAGAAAAATGTTATCGACAAGGCCTTAATATTTTGAAAATAATCCAAGGACAATTTTTTTTTTTTTTTATTTCACAGTCAAAGTATTTAATGACAAAATCAGGGTTTCCAGTAAGACTCAACAGAGCAGGTCCCACTTTTTTCCAGAATGGCACAAAATTATTTCTACATCTTTGAGAACTTCTGAGGAATATGTTACAACAAATATCAGCAAATATTACAATACTGGCATATTATAGCAGAACCTACCTACCTTTAAGATCACTTTTTAGAGAGCACGTTTGTTAATATTTCACATAATGCACAACTTTTGCTAGACACAAAAGTAGCCTTTTAAGACAGATTTTGCAGTACAGTAGTCTCAAGTCTAACAACGCATTTTTTTATTCTTTGCAGAACTTTAAAAAGATAAGGAAACTATTGATCTTGTTACAATTTACAAATACATTCTTTAATATGAAACATCATCCTGAATTATGTATATGTATGTTATGTACATGGATATCTAACAATACTATGTTGTATACACTACAAGCTAAGTTCCAGGAGGAAATTGCAATGCTTGAAGATTTGCCTTTGGATAGATGTTAGTACACATCTTTGAAATTTTTCTAGAAAACATCAAATCTTGTAGTTTAATGAATAGCAAGAACAACATAAAAAACACAAGTAAATTCCTTTTTCTTTATCAATATCACTAGTTACTGAAAATTCCCGTAGCAATTGGCTTTTGATGGCTCGAGAAAAGTCCTGAGTTATGATATGTAACACATGAAACTCAAACAGGAAGATATACAAAAACAATGTTGCAAAATTGTCAATGGGACTAAAATAATGTTTTAGAACAGTTCAATCCACAAAACGTCTGGAACTTAGCAGTGCAACTGTGAACTTGACCTGTCCAGCTGATATTAAAACGTGTAAACACCTGAAAATACCTTTTTATCTGAATTTAGACAACTATTCTTCCCAGGTTTATCTGATCTGGAGGTTAGATATTTTTTCTGAATTACTGACAAGCTTAGAGGACCAGCTAGATGGCAGCAGTTCAAAGCCTGTTCTTTCTCCCAGCAGAAACACCTAGGTTAAGTTAGCAGCAGAATCACCAAGAATATAGTTAAAAACTACGTAAAGTAGAAAAGATGATGACAGAAGACAGCTGTGTGGTCAAAAATGCACCTGACTGAATTCTAATACAACTATTTTTAAAAAAATAGTCTAACATTTTGTCTGTAGCAGAAATTTAATTTCTAATAAAGAGACAATCATGCTTGTTAATTTGCAGAAATATCCACATTCATTGCAATTTTTCTCAGAAAGCTACCGACATTTCCAGGGCAAGCATTAATTTTAAGTAGCTCAACTGAGTATTCAGAACTCCAGTCTTAAAAGACACATACAGCTGGCCAAATTCTCCTTCAGTTGTCAGTGCAGGTTGCAACGACTGCTAGAGGTGACCCTGAAATGATTGTTTGGTACTACATAGACGATGAATTTCCTCTTTCTCTCAATCTCAGTATGAAATTAGAAAAAAGCTTGATATCAAATAGTTTAATTTACAGAAAAAATTGATGCAAAATTTGCAATAGTTTGAAGTAGTTGATGTATTTAGTTCAACTGTTTTCCTAAAGCCAAGCATCTTCTTACGATATGGGTATTTCCAAGAGAGATTTTCAGCTACTTCAGCTTGCAGCAACTAAAATATTCTCAGTTACTACAAAGGCTTTCATCTCTATTCCAAGCACTGCTCTGAGGATTTTAGATTGTTTAAAGTGTCATTAATAATGCAAAAAATCTTATTCTACAATGAAAATGAAAACTACAGTACATTCAGATAATGCCAGCTCTCTGGCTCTTCAGTCAGGTGATGACAGAAAATTCTGGAGTGCATTGATTTTAAAGAGCACGTATCTTTGAAAGACAAAGGCTGAAACCTCTCCCAGAATTTCTGTTTCAGCTTACTGATTTAAAAAAAAAAAAAAAAAGTATATGACATGCCCCTCCCCCTTCTTTTTCAATTCTAGAAGTAAATAAGTAATCTTAATCAATGTTAAGAATACAGCTGTCATGGAAGAGTAAACAACTTACTTTTGTAAGAGGAACATCAGTAGGCAGCCACTCTTCCAGTGATAATATATATTGAAAACTGAGACCTACACTAGATGTTACAATTCTAATGCACTAAGACATGCTTTTTCAAAGCCTCTATCTTAAAAATCAGAGGACTAGCTAACACAAAAGTCAACTCATTCTAACCAGATATATTTCTGAATTCTTTCCCAAAAAATCTTACTGTTGAATTTATGCAAAACAGATGACTCAGAAAATGGTGCATTTTCATTTGTATGGAAGCCTTTAAGCAAGGAATCACAGGCATAAAGAAAATGAAATGTTATTATTTTACCACATTGCTAAATTCTAGATTGAGTTTGAGGCACAACGATGCGTGCACAGATGTAAAAATCACATTTTCCTCAGAACTTGGAGACCTTAAGCATACATTCTCTAGGTTTGTCATACAATTCATACAATCCATCTGGAAGGTAAAATATAAATGTTCAAAATGCAGCACAGTAACAGATTTCCCTATGCAATTCCCACAGATACACACTTCTGAATGCTGGTAATGGCACATGCAAAAGTTCCTACACTGGGAAGAGGAGCGTTTCTATTTCCCATAACAAAGCAGTCTATTCTCCTCTATAGTTACAATCTCAGGTGCTTAATCCCAACATTCACATTCTGCTAATGCTACAGAAAAGAAAAAAAGTATAACTTTTCTTTGCATTTTATTTCCATGCACACCTCCACAGCGAGTTTAATATTTTCCTGTACAATATCAGGAAAGAGCATGGGGGAAGATTATTCCTAGTTTAACATTGATCTGCTTATCGTTTGGTCCACTTCCCCTGTTTGCTTTAACTCCCGTAATAACTGAAACATAGGCTGGAAGTACTGCAGGATTGTGTAGCAATCTTACAAAAAAAGAACCAAAAAAAACCTAAAAGGTAAAAATATAACATTTTTTCTGGCACAGAAACTGAAAAAAAAAAACTTATCTCCACTGAATTGGAAGGAAAAAGCTCGTGGAAGTGTGGATTCTCCTGTAAGAATTGCTGAACCTAGCTTTTCAGTTCCTCTTGGGAAGGTTTTGACTTTGGGCAGTATCTCAACATTTGTGCTTCATGGCAAGCTGAAAAAGAAAGGAAAAATAAAGAATTAAAAATATATCGCATATAACTATAGCTAAGCCAAGCTAATAGGCCTAGTCTGGATCAGAAAAGTTCTGTAAACCAAATTCTTTAAAAGACGCCTGAAATCCAGAACTTCTTTGCACATAAATATGTGAAGAATTTCCCCCTGCTATGATAGATATGCAAAGTTTCCCTTTGCTATGTGATAATAAATATTGAAAGCAGTAATATATACTGAAAGTATCTGAGGTATAGTCATTAACAACAACTAACACAGAAGTGTTTCTCATTTCCTTTTCCCCACCCTCATTTTCTTCTTATTGGCTATACTGTAGCCTTTTATTCATCAAGGTCTAAGCTCCAGTTTCTTTCTTTTACTAACTTTTGCCATCCAAATTAGCCTTACTGCAGTGAGCAGGGAGAACTGTATACTTCAAGGAAGCTCTAGGCAGGACTACTAAGAATAGCAAAAACAGTGCCAGAAATGATACATTCTCAGTACTAATTAGTATAATACTAATTAGATATTAAATCACTGCCAAGACTTTCATATTTCTTAGTTTAGCATCATCTAACACTGCATGAAATAGATGAATATGACTGAACTACACCTAGTGCTTTTTATCAGTAGGATACAAATTCATGGACCACTGTGATACAACTGCAGCCTTTTATTTTACATATGCTCTGATCTCTTCTCCAAGAATTTGGCTTTTGGACTTGATGTAACAAACGTAATACTATACTAATTAAGATTATTTACTGACACCACTGCTTTTTTCTGCAAAAGCATTTCCGCAATTTTGTTCAGTAATGGGCTCAAAAGAAAACTTTCTGAGTTAACCACTCACTGGAATTCAGCTTTGCCTTCCACAGTCAAGCCACAGTTTCCTTTTTCACAGAAAAATTTTTCTAGATATTTCACTTATAGGGAGATCAGGAACAAGATTCTCAATACCTATACTACTTTAAGGTCTAATGGGATAACCTAAATTGAATTGTTGGGTATCTATTCAGTGACACAGGGTATTTGAATTTGCAGGGAGACAAAACATACAATCCTTTTTATATCAGGTGCAGATCAGATCAGGGTAAAAGTGCCCTAAACTTGATGCCAATTGTAGTAAAACGTTTCCGATATGCTTTTGGAGGGTGTAGTGGAGGAGAGGCTTTCCAAAAATTTATTACAAAATGTATATATTTAGAAGACAAATACAATAGAATTTTACATGAAAATTACAGAATGTGGAATTTAAAAGGAAAAAAACTATACACTGAGTACACCTACAAACAGGCTGACACAGGGGTGAATAAACCTGCTTATGGGATATGCTGCCAAAACAGAAATCAAATTGATCATCTGATAAATTTTTTCTTTCCTTTTCCTATTAGCTGGGTATACAGACATGTGGTGGGAACAACACAGATTTGCATTCATTTCATGAAATCCTATATTGCAGTTTCAATTGAAAGGAAAAATAACAGTAAGAGTGGTTACCATTAAGATAAAAGATATCTTGTTATTTTCTCTCCCACATTTGTATTGCAAAAGAAAGTTCAGCAGTATAGCTGAGGCTTGACTAGCCATAAGACCATGCCTAGTACTTTCCTGTGTAGCAGGATGATGAGTTTATTTCAAAGTATATTGAATCAATGTTTATAAAGTCACAGAATCACAGAACGGTTGAGGTTGGAAGGGACCTCTGGAGATCATCTAGTCCAACCTCCCTGCTCAAGCAGGGACACCTACAGCACGTTGCCCAGGATCGTGTCCAGAGGGCTTTTGAATATCTCCAGGGAAGGAGACTCTACAGCCTCTCTGGGCAACCTGTTCCAGTGCTCTGTCACCCTCACAGGAAATAGGTTTTTCCTCATGTCCAGATGGAAATGCCTGTGTTTCAGTTTGTGCCCGTTGCCTCTTGTCCTGTCCCTGGGCACCAGGGAGAAGAGTCAGGCCCCATCCTCTTGACATAAAATGCAGTAAAGTCCATTAACTTGCAAATGAATCATAAACAATTTTGAATTTCGAAGCACGTCAGGATGCCACATGCACATCTAGCTCATACCTGCCCTTAAAATATTGTTGGAAAAAGCTTAAAATGCAAGCATTCCAGGCTATGCAGGCTTTTCCATACGCTTCGTTACAAATTTCTCATGTCTGAAATAAAATCATATTTAATTTTGGCAAATAATCTGAGGAAGTACTGTCAGAGGTGAAATGATGCTACAGAGTCATGCAATACTACACATCATGCATTGCCCTCACACAGAATATTTAGCACACTTAACGCCTTGCAAACAAGAAGAGATTCAATTATAATTAATATTAAAAAAATCCCACAAAACAGATTTAAGTGAAAATATAATAGAATATAGCATATTCACTGCAAGCTTAAACATTCTTTAGGATAGTTGGAGGAATGTAAGTTATTATTTCCAAAATTATGCCACAATTAAGTCCTCATTTACCAATAGAGTACTCAATCAGCTTAGAACCTTCAAGTTTTAGTATATGAAAACAACAAAATAAAGCACAATAAAACCACAACAAAAGTAAGAGAAAACTTATCTTACTGACTGATAAAACTAACTGTAAGGAATTTTTACTATTAGCATAACCAAGATGTTTTCTTTAAATACACAGAAGAGAAAGGTACATTTGTTAATATTAACATGAAATAAAATTGGCCTCTCAATCTGCTGCTCTGTCCAGATATTCCAGACTATTCTTTTTTTCCCTACCTCCTCCAGTACTGTAACTTCAAGTAGACATCCAGTATTTGACTGCAGACACCTCTGAAGCCTTTACAGAATGTTCCATCAGTTCCATTCATACTTTTTCTCCACACTAATCTCCTAAAACAACTTCTAATCCGCATCTTCTGTTTCTGATCGACCTAGGTGGGATTACAAGCCTCTCGGCTACCTGAAGCTCAAACCAGGTGGCCAGATTACACACAAATGGATCAGAAATTGACAGATTAAGAAATCTGCACTCTGAAGTAGCTGCTCCCTATTTCGTATGAGTAGCGTTATTAAGATATAAGCTTAAGCCAACTACAGAGCAATCGCATTTGTAGTGGTAAGTAGCTATTTCTTTAAATTAGAATGAAAATATATTCTTTCAAATTTCAACGTTAGACTGAAGCATGAAGAAACTCATACTTACTAAGGAACAAGATTCCAGAATAACAACGTGGTTTTGTCATCTTCCCCACTGTCCCCTTCATCACCAAACAGACAATAGAGTTACAAAATCGGGTCTTACCACTGTGCTTGTGTGTGTATACATACACACATATACTTTTTTTTCCATCTCAAAAGCGAAAGATAACCTGGGGTTATCAACTGTTACTGCTTACAGTCCTCATTCTCTTCCTCAGTCCTCTCCCCACAGTAGAGCTGAGAAGATACACCTCAGAAAGGTACAGAAAGGTAACGACCTTTCTTTTTTTTTTACTACCTTTCCAATTAAAGTGGAAATGAAACGAATCTATGAACAGGAAACGGTATACACCAGAAGCTATAAGCCAAAAATTAGGCAAATGAGAAACACTCCTCATTTGGAAAAGATCAGGCCGTCTCTAAACAGTGTCTGACTGCAATTCTTTCTAGAGCTTACTCCCTTCACAACGAAGCAAAGTACCACTTTGACCTACTGAGCGTCTTGTCCCACCAAAATCTTACCTTGTGTGCAGTTTCTGCAAACTGCTGTGCACTGTTTTTCAGCTCCTCTGTCTTTTCTTCTGCTCGACCTAACCTTTCACCACGCTCATTCAAAGCTTGACTTGCCTTCTGTACTGCACTTGTCACGCTGTCTGCTGCTGAATGGAGTATACTGTTACCTGCCATGTCAGAAAAGACTGTTAGAACCCCCAAATAAACACATTCTTTTCTGTGTTAAAAACAATTATTTTCATTTATAATATTCTAAAGTTAATGTGTTACCTGACAGTTTATCTAGTTATATTTTGGGTAATAGGGTGAGCTTTTTCTCTGAAACTATATTATTATCAAGTTATAAACAAGGACCACAGTGTAACATAATACTCAAGAAATTTAAGGGAGCACTGGCTCTATGCTAATACAATATATCCTTTTTACATAGCATATAAAAAAAAAAAAGTACGTTTTAAACCAATTATGCTGGTAATGGTATAAACCACCTCAACACATGAAGCTGACCTGAACGCTACGGAAAATCTTCCTTTATGACTAGAAACCTGTTGCTCTTACGGGCATACAAAGGCAAATGAAAAAACATAAAGACCTACTGCTTTTATGGTTAATCTAAAAAGTATATGTTTTTCATATTCTCAGGTGGAAAAAAAAGGGGGGGGAGGAGAGGGGAAAAGAAAATCCTAAACATTAATTTGAACGATTGTTTTGCTACTAGTTCCGTAATGAAAAACAGGAACAAAAGACCCATTCAGACTGTTTTTACAGATAATACTTCTTTCCTTGGAAACAGTAAACAAATAGTGAAGAATGAAACTGAAGTTAGCTCCAAACAGCCTACGGAACACAGCCGCAACAGTAGGAGAAACCCTTACATGCATGAGTGAATTTAAGATTAAAAAAAAAAAAAAAAAAAAACACACTACTGATTTTATTCACCTAAAACACAACTTGTATCAAACTACGGAGGTGGGGGGACCCAAAAACCTACATACATTAGCTCACAGAGGCTGAGTTAACATAAGGTACGCCAAGCACAGACCACCTGATTTCACTGTTGCCATTACCGTTACACTTGTCACGTTAGCAGGACGCATAGGACGTGGGACAGCTACAGAATTTTATTGTTGCATAGAAGGGAGGACTGTGTCTAGAAGAGAAAAATAATGATCAGCAGTACTGCTGAGGAGATGAACATCTAAGAACACTGCAAGCTAGAATTTGCTGAGGTAGGAATGAAACTTCATCTTTTCCAGTGGTCTCTCTCAGGACATTGAAGAGTCTGATAAAATCAGCCAAATAACTTTTAATACTGCACATTTGCTTAATTTCACCTTTCTCAATCAATCATTATTTAGATCATAATTATCTTATTTAAAGTCAGTTCCACTGATTTTTCTTGGGAGTTTATTTTGGCTTTTGTTCAGGTGCCTTTTCCTATGAACACGTGTACTGGGCAATACTCCATAGGAAATTTTTTTTTTTTTTTTTAAAACGGTGTGATCAACAGGCTTTAACCTTTTGTATTTTTCTGTGCTAGTTTTCTCGGATGATGTTTCAAAAGCTCTCAACACTGCATTAACTCTGCCGTTGCTTTTCCAGGATGATAAAACTTCCACTGAATTCAAGAGAAGCAGAGTGTTTGGAGAGCTTTATACAACTCATCATCTTCCAAGCTTTAAAACGTGCTAGGGAACAGAAGTTAAGAAAAATTGCTGACCTTGTGTCAATTTCCATAGAAAATTGCAGAATGAAGATATTCTTAAGAATTTGTAGCCAAAGAGTTATACTCATATTCATCACATCAGTATTTTCAGCAGAGTGGAATGGACTTCTAAGTTTGGCACAATGATAGCAATTATTTTGCTTTTTAGCTAATACAGTATTACATTCTCTCCAGGTGTGATCTATATTTTTCTATGGATAGTGGCTTGCAAAAGCTGCTATTCTGAGACTAGTTTAGAGAAAAGCTTTATTATTGATCTTTTCCAATGGAATCATATTTTTTTCTATTTGTTTTGAGATTTAAAAAAAGATCCCACATGAACTTGCTTTAAATGATCTGAGTAGAAACGATGCCTGATATCAGAGCCTCCTCTTTCCTTCTGCTGCCTTAGAACATTTGATTTAACCACTAGCAGTGATAGCTGCTGGCATCATACCTTTAAAACTTTACACCTGACAAACCATGACTTAAACATTATTTAAGGATTTAAGCTTTTCTGATCATCAGAACATTTCTCAAATTCTCTAAATCTAAATTCTTATGGTTCACTATGAACCTTTAATATCAAACTTAGAACCTTAGCAAACTTAGCTGCACTTGCTCAGAACAGAATTGGAACCCAAAATACAGACGCGGTCATAATCAGCCTACGTTTAAAAAGTCCTGTATCCCTGCAAGTATACGTGCGTCCACTTGTACTAGATGTATTGGAGAATCATCCTTATGAAAAAATCCTATGATATTCTTCCTGCAAAATTTTTAAGCTGTTCTTTGGGAGGTAACCATTATGATTCAAAATCTCCAAAGCTAGTTCCATGACTGAATAATAAAACTGCCTGAACATGCACAGAACTGCTTAAAAAAAACCCTAAAACCAAAACCAACCAAATAAACAAATAAAACACACTCCCCACACACAGAAAAAGCAGCGTGGCAGTCAGTGCCCCTTTCCTAGAGCCTGGGAAAACTGTTTTCCATCTTTGCCTAGTTTTTTTGAAAGGTAGTATGGCGGAGAGCTACTCACTTTAGACTGAAGGCACATGACAACCACCTTTAATTTTTCTTTTTGACCCTATGAAGAGTCTGAGGGATTTGAGGACTTCCCATCTATTAGATTCAGAGACTAAGAATCTCAGAGAGGTCTCTCAAAAAAGAGACCTCACACCACTTGCAAGATGAGTTAAACATCACCAGAAGAGGGGTACAGATCAGCTGATGTTCACATGAGATGCTTTTAATAGGAGGGCACTCGCATTGTTCCCAAGACATTCACCTCCAAAGGCCTCTGTTCTCAATTTTGCATGCCTACAGTCTTGACTGTAGGAAGGAAGACTTACATACCTTTAAAAAAAAAAAAAAAAAAGTATAGGGAGACGTCTCTAGTTTCTGAGGCAGATATATCTTTCTGTAGCTCTGTAGAACAGATCACAGCAGTTGGAACAACAGACTTTTCTCTTTCAAATAAAGGAAAATAGTTTACATATTCTGTCCATTTACGAAATACTTTCTTCAAGTCTCTAAGGGCAAGCACACAGTTTTGTTCTATCTAACAGTATCTGCTAGTTAACTGTGTAAGTAGGGCAAACGCTGCCAGATAACATGGGGTAAGCATGTATTTATATCAAGTTCAGCCTAAAGTACTACGTTGATGTTAATGCTAATATCAGTAAAACGTATACGTTTAGGTCAGATTCAGTCTGAAATTAAACAGATCAAGAAGGAGGATGAGCTTAGTTCAGTGTTTTTCTTCCGTTTAATCTTGAGATATATAGAAAATATACTAGTAATTTATTTCCAACAAAATTACCAAGCAAGCGGCTTAACAACTGGTTGCTGTAACAGCATTTTCTATGATACTTTTGTCTTATTATCTGAAGATGTCTGCCCAGAGGACACTAATCAAATCAATCAATAGCCACACAGTTTGGTAATCCAATCTGCTTAGCACCAGCCTAGACATTTTATTGTGAATTTGTTGTAGTGAATTATAAACTATTGGAATTAAACCCCCCTTCCTCCTCAGAAAATTCAATTAATGATCTCTACAATAATGTGCAATGTATCAGAGTCCAAAGGAGCGAAAACTGTGGAAGGGCAGTAGCCTTTGGGTGAGCGCTTTAGACCAGTGATCCTAAAGCTTTACTTGCTTATGGACAGCAAAAATGAAGTAACAATGCTTTGCAGAAAGCTCCTGTCAGTTACATTTTTAACTTTTTGGTTCTTATGATCACAAGCTACATCAGAGGGTCTTGCAGCCCACGAATCAGATGATATTGCTGAGGTCATTTACCATGCTCAAGATAAAAGCTCATTCTTAACATACCATATACAGTACCAGGAAAAAATATAGATATTGTCATTAATCAGCAGGGGAATCAGCCTAATAGATAAAGAAATTAATTGATTTCCAGAGAGATAACTGTTGCTTGTTTGAATGATCTGTTTTAACACACATTCATAAAAGGTTAATCACATTCTCTATTAGCCATGTCAAAAATACTTCAGTCCAACCCAGAGCTTTATCTGTACATCAGTGATAAAACTTTACAGTGACTGATTTGTAAACACAAACATTTAATTTTTAATTGTGTATACATTAACATAGCATTTAGCAACTCCGTTCTGTTCTGAGAAGTAAATGAATGCAATTACCTATGGAAGTCAATGAGTCCTGTTTATCACATGAAAATTTTATTTTAAAGGAGATATTTATGGCTTCTCTTGAACTGCATAAAACTGGACTTATGTCACTGAATAAAACAAAGTTAAAAGCATAATGACAAGCACCTGAAATTCATTAACCAGACCATCTATACCATGACACATGTATTCTACATGCCTACACATACAATTCACACTCACATATACTGGTGTCACTAAAAGTTCAACAGACATTTGGAAACGGGGACTGTAAACCTAAAAAATGTCTTTTTTTCTTGACTGTATTTTGTGCTTTGTTCACTGCCCGTCCTCTCAACACTTCAGAACCAAACGCACTGCACAATTATAATATCAAGAGCGAGCTACAGGGCTCTAGGGAGATGAGGAAGGTGTAGAACTATTAAGAATGAACATTTCCTTGCGGAAGAGGGAAGCATCACAGAGTTGCTTTTTAAAGCGGGGAAAATGGTCTGAAAAGGGGAAGAAACTACACAGTATAGTATTATTTCTTCTCCTAAGTCACTTCAAAACGTTCACTATAAGAATAGTTTAAGATGATGCAGATCAAATGTCAAAAGCACTAAGAGGAGACAGACTAATATAAATACTGACTTTCTTGAAGTCAGTAAAGACAGTAAAGAAAGGGCCCTTAGGACTGTATTTCTAGTCACAGCTAGGTTTTAAGATTGCTTTACAGTTTATCTCTTCACCCCTTAAAGTGCAGGCAACAGTGAGAACATAGCTTCTGAGCAGACTTTTGAAAGTGAATCACGCTTCTTT